AGTCTCGGCACTGAACCACGGTTGAACGGCCGATTTCAGTGGTTCAGCTGAACTGGGATTTGATCTGCCGTTGAGGCTTAAACGCGACTGGGACAACCAAAAATTTTTGTTGAACCACGTTCACCGCTGAACTGTCGGTGAAATTGGATTGTGCAACCGGCCCTTAGAAAGTTATGTTTGTATTAATTATGGAAAATTAATTAAACGAAATTTCATATTGCAGCAAAAAGGCGGAACTCATCATTGACGAAGCTAAATGGTTTAACAAGAAGCACGAAATTCAAAGAGTGGGTCTTGTTTCTCAAACCATAAAGGCTGTAGAAGATTTGTCTCTTTTAAAGGTAAACCACCTATGAAACGGCATACTTCAACATCAACAAATGGACAGAAAGGAGAAAATAATCACATGGAAGCGATGTTTACGAATAATGGGAAAATTATTATGGGGACATGCGGCTGCACTGATTATTTTTGGATTAGCTGTTCAAGCTTCAGAAGCGAACCAGAACTATGTAAAACCAGAAACCTTGGAACGGAGGTTTAGTTTTACAGATCCCCTCGCGAATGCAAACCAACCCTTTACTAACATAACATCTAACTCTAATCGTTTATTTATATCAACTAAAAGGTCGCCTACCCGCTCAGATTTTGACCAATATGTACAAAATAAGCAATATAACAAAATAAATGATGCTGGGCACCAACTGATAAATAGGTTTAGAGCAAACGAGAATCACGAATTTTTAGAAGTGAATTCTAACTCTCGTGCAGTCAGATCTTCTGTTCCTTTTAGTCAAAGTCAAGAATGTACTGCATCAAAAGATAAAGTAACTGAACTTGAAAATATGCTGAATGTTGTATTGCCAAATGCTGAAATGCCATCAACAGGAAGTAATTGTACACTAAATGCTGTTAATGCGGATAATTGTGGCAACCTACTAACTTTAATAATGTGCGGCGTCACTCATTTAGAAAATTTATTTATACAATCGATTCAAAAAATCATTTCGACAGAAGAATATACTAAGTTGAACAATGCTTATAGCTATTTATCCGTACAAATTCAACAATTTAATGATCAAATACAACCGTCATTTTCAGAAGAACATCGAAAAAACTTAGGCAGATTGAATAACAAGTTTCACAAATTAAGCACAGCCTTCAATAATACTATTGTTCAATTTCGAGAAAACATAAAAAAATTGTGCATTTCAGAAATAGGTAATGGGAATACTGAAACAGCTGTAAGTAAGTTTAAAGAATTWAAAGAATTTGGTAGTGTTAATCTTTTGCATAATATTATAGATATAGCGTATGCCAAGTACGGTCAAATGAATAATTTTGATAATATAATACATTTCATTGCACAGTTACCTTGGTTTTCGGATAAAGTGATTAGCTATGAGGTAGTATATAACATGATGGAGAAAAATACTCCTAAAATCTTTGTTTTCCTCACACAAATTGAAAAAATGCTCAATAGCCCATATATGATAGACAACGAACCAGTCTTTGTTTCCAGACTAAATGATTTAAAGAGTAAAACAATAGTATCTGTTTACAATATGTTTGATCTATGGGCATGGAAGACACGCAGCAATAACTATCGAGATATTATAGACTTTGCAAAGATGCCACAAGTATGTGTTGTTACTAGCTATTTACCTCAGATTGTTAAAACTGTTTACATCAATGATTTAAGTAATTTTAATAACGCATTTAATTTTATACGAAAACTTTCATTGCTAGAGCATCGCTATGTAGCGTATAAAACTCTCCTAGATGAAATGGTCAAAAATAAACAGATCTACAATTCTGAAATAATTAGGTTTGCTTATGAAGTTGCAAAAGCGATGTCAAGTGCTGATGCTAATGTATCCAAATCGCTCATTAGCCAGCTTCAAAAATTAAAAAATCGTTTTCCAGCTTATGTATGGCAGCTCTTGCATGAAAATCAAACATGTACTATACAAAGTTCTAAGTATCTTGAATATGCGTATATTGCAAATCCAGGGTTCCATATAAATTCAGGATCAGACCGATTTGTGTTCACATGGTGTGAAGGATGGCCTTATAGTGCTGGCCTTTGGAAATTTGTACCTGTAGATGATGCGGCATATTTTAACATTATAAGTAATTACTACGATCCCACAATATATTATTTATGTCAAAGGTATAATAGTAACGAAGTATATGCATCTAATTTAAATGTGGGTGGAAAATGGCAAATTGAGCCTATTAATATAGATGGTGTTGTAAGGTTTAGAATGAAAAACACTAGAAATGAGTATGTATATGCTGTAAGTGAACAAAATAAGTATGATAGCTGCAGACGTTACGTATCTGTTTGGCAGAATGAACAAGATCGACCATCAGCAAACAGTAACTGGAGAATAACCTGTAATGAAATCAACAGCTTTGTTGATTGAAAAAGTAATGCATTTTATTGCATTGATGTAAAGGAGCATCCACAATAGACATTTTCAAATACTCATTTGAGTTGACTTGATTATTATTCAAATACTTTACGTGCTAATTTGCTTGCACAAATTATTCAAAAATTTATTGAAACGTAAAAAAAATAAAAGAAATTAAAAGAAAAACTAAAGTAACCCTGAAATCATACGAGATGTTTATCCTTCTTTCAACAGTCCTTTGTAGTACTCTGCAACATCAGATTATTTTTGAACAACGTTACTTCATCCAATAAAGTTTTTTTCTACGGATTTGATACACACAAATATTTCAATGAAATGCCTTATTTTTCTGTGGACAAAATGTGTATAAAATTTCAATCGACACTTTATTTCTATTTAGCAAATAGTATATTAGATTGTATAGGTTTTTGACGGAATAGGGGCACTAGCGATGAGTTAAACTATGTATCGAACATTACCTATAATAGTATACCTAGATAAAAGTAAGCCTCTATTCAGTAAAAAGTAAACCTCTACTTTTTTAGACCTAGCTAAAGCGATTGACACTGTAGATCGCAAGATACTATTAGGAAAGTGCATGGAAGCAAGGTTACTTTCTCTAGAATTCCCTAGGAGTCGACCAACCGAAAGTTTTGGAAGATAATCTTATTTTTCATATCATCTAGAACTGTTATGTAATGACTATGATTTGGCACTCTTTCAAAAGTCCTAATGATGTTTATTACCGCACTAGTGCTTTCTTAAACTAATACCGCTCGACAGCGTCGTCGTACAAATCTTCACATGAGTTATGGGCAACATTGTATAGGAAAAATGCTGACCTACCGCTAGCCCACGTTTGTGCTGAATATGAACTATTAATTTATATAAGCTATTGACCGGCCATTTTGTACTTCATTCCAGAGTGTATTCCCAGTATAGTTAAGGAATGGTTGAAGTAGTAAAAATATAGTTTTTAAAAGAACCTTCAAGAATTATTATTCTTAAATGGCGCAGTCGGTAGATTTGCCAAAAAGGCTACAATCGCGTAGCAGTTTTTCGATCCATCGATTAATTGGCAATCAGAATAAGTTCAACAAGTGCTCGCGAATTCGGGACTTGAATGATCGAAGTGGTAGCTCAATTACCACATTCTGCAAGTGCAACAGCTTGGAGTGGACAAACATTGCCCGCCGAAAATCATGTTGACCTTATAGCTAAGAGAATGGCAAGATTCATGCTGATGAAGTGCAATTTATCAATGTCTGTCAATGATTTATTAAACTTACTAAATAATTTAAATCTAAGTAATCCTTAAATAAGCTCTGACTTCGCTTCTAGCTCATAATAGAAACTCAAACAGAAGTGTCAAATTCTAAAAATTTAGATATTAAATTAGATATCAATACTTCTACGTTGAAACGGAATCTCGCGGGAATTCTAAAAACTGGTAATTTATATTTTAGTACATTAGATAGTAACGAAACTATTGAAATAAATACTGAGATTCATAATAACATAATGGCACAATTTAAGCCTGAATATTTAAGTCGTCTCTCTCAATTTGATGGAAACCCTAGCGAACTGACTAGGTCGTTAGCTACTTGTAAATCTATCATTGACAATTTTTATATTGTTAGAGATGTAAGTTGAATCAAACATACTTACCTATTGAACAGTTTAATTGAAAAATTAACAGGATAGAATTAACTAGGCATGTTGCAAATGTACAAAACGTCTCCACCTGGGAAGATATTAAAAATACATTATACAGGGTGATTCAAAATTGGCGTAATTCCTTTTAAGGGGTATAATGGCTCATTTGGAAGGCACGAGAAAAATATAGAATTTTTTTTTCGATAATTTCTAGAAGATATTAACAGTTGAAAATCGAATTTCAACTTTGTTATTAAGCATCTCTTAACTAACGCCAACAAAGGGTGAGGACAGTGGTTCCAGGAAGATAGTGGACGACAATAGATGTTCGCGTTTCAGACAGAGGAACAAGTATT